GCCGGTTGTTGGCACTGAGGAGGAGACGGACTTCGGAGGACACGGTACACTCCGCCAGGCGCAGACTCAGTGCACTACAGCAGGCGGCCTAGTCCACTCCACAGGAGSGGGTTTGGAGGACGGCGAGGCACGACGTGAGCCGCCTCCTCACACGAGTGACGRCGTTCTAGAAGATGGAGAGGTTGCACCTACTMCCACTTVTGGACAGGACGGGGAGGACGAACGTCCTCYGACGGGCCACCACGTCGGCCTCRACTGCCCGCCCGRCAGTCTTYYGCGCACCRACGAGTTATTGAACATGGATTCCGCCTTGGCATCACTGCCCGATGTGTCGCTATTGATATCTCCCACTTTGGCGGTTGTGCCACCACCGGAGCCTKCTAGACGAGACGAYGAGCGTCWCAACAGAGGGTTCGACGAGTTCRGCGGCGACACGATACTGCATCCTTTAGAGTCCGACACTCCAGCCATTTTTCATGTCGGTGCACCGTGGGCAGTGGAGCAGGGGTTGGCGGAGGAGGTTGCACGAAACCGTCGTGGTGGACCGCCCGTCGCGGCGCAACGTAGTCTGGGAGGTTCACTAGAGGCAGCGTCTGGAGATTTTGTGGCACAGGGGGGTCATGGTTCGCATCAGTTGTCGGACGGCGTGTCATCGGTCCGTCCACCGGACGAGGGCGAGCAGCGAGAGCGACATCGAGGCTCGACGGAGACTTTAGAGGCTAGGCATCCCAGAGTTATCTGCTCGGACGAGGGCGTGGCCCATGATACGACACAACCAGGGAGCGCAAACACTGCATGGTACATCGGGGAGGGCATCGAGCGCATAGGGTCAACGACCGCACACGACGTCGGAGGAGGCGGGGGCCGGGGTGTGGATGGCGCAGACGCTACACGGTCCTTCAGGGAGGGCATCGATGCGCAGGGGGGCATCGAGCGCATAGGGTCATCAACCGCACACGACGTTGGAGACGCGCACATAGATGAGCCTCGACCGCATCTGATGGGGATGCGTGACATCATGCATCCACCACCGTCACGCTCCCCTGCCGTTGACCCCGTCGCCCACGGGCAGGCCTCGCAGAGCGCATTGCCGACGAGGTCTTTCTACGACGGTGCGGCCATGGACCGGAGGGCGTGCGATATCGGATATGCATCATCATGTGGACCGGCAGATGTGCCCGCGGGGGCGAGATTGATCGGCAACGTCGATGGCACTTGTCACGGTTCCATGAGAGCTTATGAGGAGCAGCATGGGAGGCTTATACGGGCCAAGACGACCGATGTCCATGACACCAGGACGGCTACTGCGAGGCTATCACGGATGAGGAAGAAGGGAACATGTGCGTCGATTCCGTATCGTCGGCGCCGCCCGCATCCTTTTTTCCGCAACCGTGACGGGACCAGACAGATGCCAACTGCTGCAGATGGACGGGGCGGGGTGGACGTAGGTGACAGAGTGGACGAATCAGGACGAGGTGAGAAGAGACGAGGTGCCACGATGATCATCCACAACGACAGCTCCAAAGCCGCTGAGGGTGGTGAGACCACAGGCGCCGACGACCCTGATGACTCCGATTACACCCCGAGGATCCGGACAGCGGACAGAGACGACTGCGGAGGTCGTCGCGTGAGGAGGAGGACTGGACCTGGCCCGGAAAGTCATTGCACCCCATCGACACATTTGCTGCCTATTGATCCACGGGCGCGAACTCGTTCTCTGTTGCGCGGAATGGAGGCGCAAAGAGAGAGAGAGAGAGAGAGAGAGAGAGAGAGAGAGAGAGAGAGAGAGAGAGAGAGAGAGAGAGAGAGA